CGCTGGGTGGGGGCGGCTTCTCGGTCTGTAGGGTTCTGCCTTGTAGCCCCGGACGCCAAGCCTGGAAGCTGCGTTTCTCTTCCCCGCCCCTCCACCTTATTTCAACAGCGATGGCGATAACTAACGCCTTCTAAGCGCTTACTACAATCAGCATTACATCACATAGTTCTTGCAAGACGTTACCGGAAAGGTACAATTACCATCCCCCCTATGAGAGGACCTCGGATCTCAAGGCTGAGGCCATAGGACCAGTCGGTGGCCGGCTCGCCACAGGCGCCCGTACTTTTTAAGGCCTCACGGGCACCGCCAGGTGTCCCAACACCGGGAAGAGAATTTTGCCCAAAGTAACGAAGAACACGGTTACCTTGACAACCGGCGGGCTGCCAAACCGACTACGACGCTCCCGGCGTGCCCTGCGCTACGCGGTGCCGGAAGTGAGTGAGCACTTCCGGCCGCCATTCCTGCGCCTCTGAAGTCTTGTGTCTCTTTGCTGGGTTCTTTCTGCAATCATGAAGGACGTGCCGGGCTTCTTACAGCAGAGCCAGAGCTCCGGGCCTGGGCAGGCCGCCGTATGGCACCGTCTGGAGGAGCTCTACACGAAGAAGTGAGCGCTGAGCCCAAGGGACCAGGGCAGAGCGACGTGGAGTGGCGGGACATTGACGGGCTGAGGACGCTCTGACCCGAGTTGGGGAGACCTGAGGAGTGAGGGACGTGTGGGAGAGGGGGCAAGCTGGCCAGGGAGGGTCAGGGCCGTGGAGGAAGAGAGATGGCAGTCAGTCACAAGGACCAAGAGTGTAGCCAGGGTTTGAGGGTCGAGGACACACTGCTTTCCTGCCCGAGGAGCTGTGACTGAGGCTTCTAAACTCCCCTCCCTCTGGTCTTACATTAGGGAGCCTGGCTGGCCTACGATTTTAGCTCTTGATTCAAGCAAGCAAGCAACAGTGTCAGGGCTTTTGATAAACAGATCTTGGTGACTCGTACTCAGCTATGTCATAGTGTGACTGTATCTGCAGGTGTTTTTCGCGCAGCCTGGAGCCCATAAACGGAGAGCCGTGCAGTTTTCTGTTGATTGTGTAGCTGCTACACAAGGTGTAGCCACTGTCCCTACTTTCCGTTGTATATCAGTGTGGGTTTTTGTTCCTAGAGAGACCTCAGAGTTTGAGTTTGTTTAAAAACAGAATGAGCTTCAGAACAATTAAAAATTGGTGGCATTGGGCTACAGTTGTCATCTGGGAAAACACAGTGGGGCATTTAGCATAGAGCCTTTCACACAGGCATTCACAACGTGTTTTGATGGTGTTGAGCAGTCTTCTGCTAATAGCAATTCTTAGTGTTTGACAAAAATTGCTTGTGTTGGGTAGCATTTGGCATTTTTCAAAGCCTTTTATCTGCATTATTAAATATTAGCCTTTTGTGTGATGTGTCCTCGGTCACTGCCCTTGAGATTTTATATATTACCTTATTTCATCTTTTGTTACATCAGTGGAAGAGGAAACTGAGCTCAGTTTTCTAGCCTTCCCTGAGATACTCTTAAGTAGGGGAGCCTGAATTTGAACATAAAACTGCATGATTCCAGTATTGTTTCCAGTTGAAACTAACAGTAATGCTTTGGAACGTCTAGAAAGATGTTCTCCATTTCATAGCTGGGAAAACTGAGTCTTAGGATGTGAGCTCAAGGTGACGCAGCCATCAAGTGGCAGGGACAGGAAAAGAACTCAGGTTTCATAGCATCTGCCTTAGTACTCTTTGTACTGTGCAGTAGAGACTGATTGGTATTTGTTGTTTGATAGAATGGTCAAAGCTAAAGGTGTCTGTTAATTCATGTCAGTTTATAGGTCTAAAGGACCTTATGTTTTTCAGGTTGTGGCATCAGCTGACACTTCAGGTACTTGATTTTGTGCAGGACCCATGCTTTGCCCAAGGAGATGGTCTCATTAAGGTAAATAATATATGATGCTAGGTCAAATTTTATGAATATGTTCAATAGATGCATTTTATGACAATCATAATAAGATGCAATTACTTTATGTCCGTGAGTATTGTAATCACTCCTCATACTTTTCATAACAGCATTGAGAAATAACTACTACTATTATCTCTCTCTCTCTCTCTCTCTCTCGCTCTCTCTCTCTCTCTCTCTCTCTTTGACATAGAAGCAGACAGGTTAAGTAACTTACCATAGGTCACAGCTAATAAATTACAGATGTGCATTCAAATACAGACATTCTCTCAGTTGTGCATGATGACTCACAGCTGTAATCCCAGGCTACATGAGAGGCATAGGTAGGAGGATCATTGTCTAAAGGCTGGCCCAGGCAAAAAAGCACCAGACTATCTGGAAAATAACTGAAGCAAAAAGGCCTGTGGCTCAAGTGGTAAAGCACTTACCTAGCCATCACAAGGCACTGAGTTCAAACCCCAGTACCACCAAAAAAAAAAAAAAACCAAACCCACAGGCATTCTGGTTTCTAAAATTGTAGACTAGGACTGGAGATGTAGCTCAGTGGTAGTTTGTACTTAGTATGCATGAGGCCCTGGGTTGCGTCCTTAGCACACAAAAACAAAAAAAAAAGCCCAACACAGTGTCACACTTATAATCCTAGCTACTTAGGGATTGAGGCAAGATAATTGTGAGTTCAAGGTCGTCTGGGCAACACAGACCCTGTCTCAAAAAAATAAATAACTGTAATCTCTGCACTCAGGAGACTGGCAGAAAGATCATTAGTTCAAGGCTAGCCTGATTTACATAGCAAGTTCCAAGCCAGTTGTAGTCTACTTTCTGAGTTGCATAGTAAAATCCTATCTCAAAAAAAAGTAAATGGATAAAAATTTGAAATTCTGGCCTAAAATATTACCTTATAGCATCCCCAGGTTTTGTTTTGTTTTTTTTTGAGAGGGGGCCTTGACATGTAGCCCAGGCTGGCCTCAAACTCACAATCCTCCTGCCTCAGCTCCTGATTGCTGAGTGGCATGAGCCACTTTTCCCAGCTTTTTTGTTGTTGTCCTATTCTGCTTTTGGGAAACTACTGGGAAAGAATTGAAGTTCAAAATCAGTTTGTGGATGGAGTAGGGTACAGAAGATTGTGATAGGAATCTTTTAGATAGTTCCCTTCACTCCCTAGCTCCCCTCTCTCACCCACACTGACTCTGCTTGCCCAGACATTTCTGTCCTGGCTAGTGTGGAAGACATAGTTTTTTTATTTCTTTTGGGGTGCAGGGTTGGGGAGAAGACAATATGCTGCCTCAGTAATAGAGCACTTTTAGAATTTTGTCCACAAGAAAAAAATACTCTTCTAGCCTTTCCTAGATCCCCTTGCAGATTGGAACATCTCCATGACTTTGGTCATCAGAAGCCACCTCTTTGAAGTTTTCCTGACATCTTTCTCTGATTTTGAATGAATCAGAGATTTAGACCAACTTGGTAACTGATAGATAGCTTGTAATTGTAGCTTGAGTTATTTCACCTGAACGCATTATGTTATAGTGCAGACAGTGAAGCTTACTACCTTACCACGCCACCTCCTGGGCTTGTAAGATTTTTTTATGGTTTATACCCATTAATTTAACATTTTACTATCCAAAAGAACTAAAGATTTTATTGAGCATTTCATCTTCCGGTTTATGTGGAAAAATGATAAATGAGACAGATTTTAATACTTGTTCGCCACAGTTCTACATTATAGTGATAGATAATTCATAATTGTTTATCCTTTGTTTTCTTATCTTTAAATTACTTTTCTACACAAGGCAAAGTATTTCCTCAACCTCGTGGTAATGTTATACTCAGGTCAACAGATTTGAGTTTATTTTTTCATGAACAAAATAAACCTTTTGAGACCCAGCCCACATAAGTGTAAGATGGATATTCATTAATCTGTAGTCACTAGAAGTAATTTTGAGTTTCTGGACTCAATAAGCTTTTTAATGTAGATAACTCCATCAATTTTAAGAGGTATCAGGAAAGTTAAAACAGTGTTTCTTAATGAAGAATACATCTTTGAAATAGTCCCTTGTCATGAAAAGGCCATTTTATTTAGAGGATTTGTGCCAGATTTAAGTGCCTATCACAGGGACATTGCCATCTTTTTACCTTTACTTGCCAGGGGACCTTCAGGGTTTTTTTTGCTAAAGTTGAAGTCATCTGGAGGTTTCTCCCTACTTTGCCCACCCTGGGCACTTTGTTTTCCCAGTTAACTCAGCCATAGACTCAGGATTTCCTATCAGCCTCCCTTTCTGTGCTCAGCCCACTTCCAATCACATCTAGTCCAACTTACTGGCAAAAGTCTTTCAGACTTTCCATCCATCTTCAACACTTCTGTGCTCCACGGTCCTGTCTTAGCTACGAGTAGCCTCTAACTGGTCTGTCTTCTCCCTTGTGGTCCTCTCTGGACCCAGTCCTGACTCCCTGTAGGAAGGACAGAGACTTATCTTCAGTGGCTCCCACTATGTCCTTCAGAAGCACTCCTGAAATAGTGCAATCTGTTCCTTCTGTCTGCAGTGTTCTTTCAGCTTTTCTAGTGAAGGGCATTGTGGTTTGTAAACTCATAACTTAATGATACCAATGCAGTTTCAGTGTTTGCCATCTGATTTTGCAGAATGAAAGACACCCTGTACTTACTCCATGTTTTGGTTCCATAGCTTTATGAAAACTTCATCAGTGAATTTGAACACAGGTAAAACCATTTTTTCAGCTGTTTACTTTGAAAATAAGTACATTGGTACTCCTTGACTCTTAAGCTGGTGATTTTTATTTCAGGGTGAACCCTTTGTCCCTGGTAGAAATAATCCTTCATGTGGTTAGACAGATGACTGGTAAGTATCAGTTTGTTTCATAATGGAGCAGACCCAAATGGTAGTTAAAATGATCTTAAAATATAATTTTAATTGAATTCCTTAGAAATATCAGATTGACTGGGTATGTACATGTCTGTGATCTGTGCACACCAGAGATTAAGGCAGGAGGATTGAAAATTTGAATGTAGCCTGGGCTATATAACAAGACCTCAAAAACACACACAAAAAGAAAGGTCAGGTGCAGTGATGCACATCTATAATCCCAGCCACTCAGCAGGTGGAGATCTGGAGGATCACAGCTTGAGCAAAAAGTTTGCAAGACCCCATCTCAACAAAAGAAGCTGGACATGGTAGTGTGCACTTGTCATCCCAGCTATGAGGGAGGCCATAGGTAGAAGGATCATGGTCCAAGGCTGGACCCAGGCAAAAATGAGAGACCCTACCAGAAAATAACAGCAAAAAGGGATAGAGGCGTGGCTCAAGTGGTAGAACACCTGCCTAGCAAGTTCGAGGCTCTGAGTTCAAACCCCAGTACCACCAAAAAAAAAAAAAGAAAGAAAGAAAACATCAGAGTCCTAGTTATGCTTTTATTATACCTTATGATCTAACACTAAAGATTATCCTGCCTAAAAGTGTCTTGACTGGTAAAAACCCACTATTGGTGGGTCTGATTTTGTTCTTTTTCTTCTAGATCCTAATGTGGCTCTTACTTTTCTGGAAAAGACACGTGAGAAGGTGAATGTAAAATATAACAGCATCTTCTGAATATTTTTTGACTTGTGGTTTATGTCTATACCTTTAGAAGTTGTATATCTCTGGGCATGAAAGTCAAATAACTGCCCAGGGAGCAACTTACTTTATGAGTTGTCCACCTGCATTGCTGGGGGCTCTTGTTTTTTGATGTCTTCAGGTGAAAAGCAGTGATGAGGCAGTGATCCTGTGCAAAACAGCAATCGGAGCTCTGAAATTGAATATTGGGGACCTACAGGCTACAAAGGTAAAATCACCATAGTAGAGATTTATGTTAGGGTTAAAAAATGGTCTAAAACCTTTTGTACATTTTCAAATAGGGTCTCCCCATTTATTCCCAGGCCAACCTGGGTCACCATTCTCCTTTTTACACCTTCTATGCAACCAGATGATAGCACATCACCATTTTAAGCTTTTTATTGGTTGAGATGCAGATCTCACCAACTTTTTGCCTGGCCTTGAACCTTGATCTAGATCACCACCTCCTGAGTAGCTAGGATTAGAGGCATTGGCCATTGCACCAGCTTAAAATATTTTTAAGCTACAGAAGAGTTACAGAATGGCAATGACTTTCATATTCTAACCCAGATTCCTCAGTGTTTACATTTTGCCACATCATTCTGTTTGTGTGTCATCTTTTTCAAAAGCATTTAAGGGTAAGTTGTTGATAGGGTGTCGAGCACTCCTTGTATGACCACAGCTTGTCCATCAAATCAGATGTGGCCTTGGCAGGGTGAAGCTCCTGGGCTGTCACTGGCCAGGTGCAGCTGTCTTGGCACTGGCAGGCCATGTGCTCCTCCATCCTCTTTATACCTCCTGAACTATTGAAGTGTTCTGTCTCTTATGTTTTTCTTTCATTTTTGTGCAATTGGGGGACAGGTGTTAGATAAGGTTAGCAATGAGACTGACATATTTGGTCAGTTCACATTGTGTAACCCGATACGGCATGCATTTTTGTTTTCCTTCATTGTAGCTTTGTTAACCATGATATCAGTGAAAATATAGGGGGTAGGGTGAGGGTTAAAAGTGTTCATATTCTCATTGCCTTAAAAAAATACCTATTTATTTCTTATGTGCATACTTGCTATATTTTGTTTTGAAGTATTTAAAACACACTGAAAGCTGTAAGAAACTAAGGAAAACTATAATGGGCACTGTTGAGTCCCAGTCAACTCAGGAGCAGAGAAATACACAAAGTCAGACCACTGTATTCTCTGCCCATGCTCCTCCCCCAGCAAGGAGGAGCAAGGAAGCACATGCTTCCTTGTCCTTGCTCACAAGATGGGTCTGTTCAACTCTTAAGTTAGCCTCCATTTGCCAGGTTTGAGGGCCATAATGTTGCTATGTATAGGCAGTTTGTTTTTACCCTATGTGGTATTTCATAGTATAAGTATTTCCATACATACGTAGCTGGTCTTCATGAAGAGATTTAGATTGTTTGTTTCTATTATATTTCTGTGCCTGCTCCTCTGTGTACATAGGCAGTCTCCTATGTGTGTGTCCGGAGACTGCAGGTGTGAATTCCACAGCTCCTGAACCTCCCTATCTTCGCAGTATTTAATTCTTACCAACCCAGTAGAGGTGCAGCGGATTCTTGATTGTGCAACGGTTTCAGTTTTTCATTTCCCGGTTGCTGGTGGCTTATTGGCCATTCCATTCATGTCTCCACTCTGTAAATTGCCAGTTGATATCTTTTGCCATTTTTCTACTGTGTTCTGACTGGTATGTAAGAGTTATTTATATTTCCTTAGTTATAATTCATCGTATGATCCCACATGCTGTGTAAGTATTTTTTCCCATTCTATAGCTTGTCTTGTGCTTTCTTCTCTGTTGTGAATTAACTGAAGTTTTCTGTTTATTAATGTCACATTTATCAGTCTTTGCCTTTGTAGCTTATGCTTTTCATTTTTATATTACTTAAAAAATCTTTTAAGTTGGAAGACAATTTTAATTCCTGTGTGTAGGAAACAATTGAAGATGTTGAAGAGATGCTCAGCAGCCTCCCTGGTGTGACGTCAGTTCACAGTCGTTTCTATGATCTCTCCAGTAAATACTACCAAACAATTGGAAACCACGCATCTTACTACAAAGATGCTCTGCGGTTTCTGGGCTGTGTTGACATCAAGGATCTACCAGGTAACACGAAGCCATTATAGTTCTTGTCACATAGGGGCAAATTACTGAACACAGTTGTGAGGTGCTGAAGGGAGGAGCTTGCTCAGATAAGTTTGTCCTTCTCTGAAGAAAAGTTGGAAAGATTTGTGTATGCTTTAGTTTATATATTATATTTGTCTCCAGTATTTAATTCAGATGGCAATGAAGATGAATCCTCCCAGCCCCTTCAGTCTTCCTTCTCCAGGTCCATACTATTACCTAAGTCAGAGGTTTTGTAGGAAGAGCCGTGATGACAATACCTTCTGACCCTCTGCAGGATGAAGGGCCCATGAGATCCCTGTAGCTGAGGTCCTTGCTCTGAAAATTAGGCTCCAGACCTATAGGATAAATTACAGAATCTTTCAAGGATCTGAGATTAAAAAGAAAAGTGGCCAGAGAGTTTGAGGAGCATACAAGGAATATGCATTTGCAAAGAAATTTTCACATTCTAGATATTTCTCACAGTACACTGTTGAAACTAAGGAGATCAGCAGTTCTTTAAAACACTGATACAACTTTGATTGCTGTATCTCAAGAAAAATATGTTGAAAGAGCACCTACTGCAGCCAAGAGAATAAAGGGCTTGACCTTCAGGGAGCAGAAAGCTCATTCTAGTCTGGAGAGATACAGACCAAGGTGACTTTAAATTGCAGTACTACTTCCCATAGCAGGGGAGGGATTTAAGGAATTCATTAGTTCAGGAATTAGTGCAGGCTGAATGATGAATAGATTCACATGTATTTGGGGGATTGTTGGGGAATTAAACCTCTGGATGCTTTTTCCACAAAACTCATATGTGTGTATGGTTTCTAGTAACCCACTCAGTTCATCACTTTAGAAGAGGTGACTCATGCTAAACCTTGGTAACATAACCATACCAAAAATGGCTTCTGTATTTTTGCTATGTGAGCTTTTTAAAGCCAAGCAGGACTGGATGTGACTGGTGTGTCATTGTCATAGTGTCGGAGCAGCAAGAAAGAGCCTTCACACTGGGACTTGCGGGACTTCTCGGCGAGGGAGTTTTTAATTTTGGAGAACTTGTAAGTTGGCCAGGTGCAAATTCCTTAATGGGACAGGGAAAGGGGGAGATGACTTTTACCACCTGATTTTCTGATGTCCCCACAGCTCATGCACCCTGTGCTGGAGTCACTGAGGAACACTGATCGGCAATGGTTGATCGACACCCTCTATGCCTTCAACAGCGGCGATGTAGACAGGTTTCAGACACTGAAGACTGCCTGGGGCCAGCAGGTGGGTCCCACATGCCTCTGGCCCTTTCTTGCCCCCACATTTGTCAACTTACCCAACAAGTGTTCAGTGAGTGTCTTCTCTACACATGGCAAGCACCCAGGAGGCTCTGGACATAATGGGACAGTGGCAGGCATTACTCTCACAGAATAGGGCATTGGATGGCTATGTAGCTGCAGTGCTGCTCAGCCCTAAAGGAAGAGTAGAGAGTGTATGAAAGAACAGAATAGGGTATGCCTCTGCCTGCACTGGATGGGGAGGGAATCACAGACTGCATGGTGAGTAATGATGCTATGTGATCTTGGGGTGAAAAGAATAGAACTTGCACCTCCATCTGTGCTGGGTGGAGGGACGTCACAGACCTTCCTGAGGGAGGCATGATTTGGAGTAGCAGAGGAAAAGAAAGCACTTAGTATGTGCAGCCAACACAAGCAGGCAGGGAAGGAGGGAGGAAGTCCTGGGGATGTAGTACAGATAGGAGCAGTGTTGGTGAAGGAGCCTCAGTAGCAGTTTTTCATGAAGTTAAATTTAATTTTACTAGAAGTGAAATTTAATGAATATTAACTGGTAGTAGTTGTGGTTGTGTTGTTTTTGTACATTTCCGAAACTTTCATTTTCCTAAAGTTTAAAAAATAAGCTTATAAAATTCATACATGGACCAAGTGGCTTTGAATTAAGGATCCATGAGGAGGCAGAAAGCACCAAAATCCAGCCAGATCTAACTGTAGTCTGATAGTTAATTGACATGTCTGCAAAAATGTGCCACTCAGAAAGGAAGCTGTAACTGGGCATAGTGACTCATGCCTATAGATCCAGCTAAGGCAAGAGAGAATCACTTGAGCCCAGGAATTAGATACCAGCCTGAGCAACATTATGGTGCTTTATCTCAAAAACAAAAAAATGTCGCTAGGGGTCAAGATGGTTTATGCCTGCAATCCTAACTACTCAGAAAATAGAGATGAGGAAGATCGTAGTTGAGGGTCAATTCAGGCAAAGAGTTAGCAAGACCCACCTCAGTCAGTTGAGCATGGAGCATGGTGTGACACCTGTGGTCCTAGCTATACAAGAGGCCAAAGGGAGAAGGGTCACAGTCTGAGGCTGGCCCTGTGCAAAAAATAAGCCAAGACCCCCCACCTGAAAATAAAATGAAAAGTGCTGGAAGCATGGCTCAGGTCTAGCAAGGAGAAGACCCTGAGTTCAAACCCCAGTGTTGCCAAAAAAAGCTGGGTAGCTGTAGCGATTTACAGGGCGGGGGGCGTGGAGGGAGGGTGAGAAATATTGTTTAGAGGTGCCTGTGCCAGAAGTGTCCCTTCTAGAACTTCCTGTGTCAGAGTATGAAGTTTTATTTTTATCCTCAGACAGGACCTCACTCTGTTGCCCAGGTTGGCCTCAAACTCGTCAGTCAAGTGATTGTCATGCCTTAGCCTCCCGAGTGCTGGGATCATAGGTGTACCACCATGCCTGCTTCGGAGTATGAGTTTTTAAATGTTTGAATTAAGTAATCAACTGTGTTTGTTTTAATTCTGTGCTCACCAAATAACCTTTTGATCCACCTGCAGAGAGAGATTGTGCAGGCCTCACAGAACTGTGTGTTCTAGTTCTCATGAGAAGTTTTCCATTATAAACCAGTCACTCACTCTTGATGCAGCACAAGCCTGCAGAACTTTGGGGTTCTCCAAGGACTTTATCTGCACCAGCTGAAACAGACAGGCAGCACCCCTCAGAGCCTCTCAGGACACAGACACATCCTTTCCTGGGTGGTGACTGTGCCAAGAAAGGCTGGAGATGCCTGGTGGTGTTTTTGACATCTGTACGATACCTGTCTTATAGATTCATTGTCTGGAGAAACAGCCTGTCAGTCATTCTCTTCTATAGGTTTACTAAAAAAGGGAAGTTAATATCACTTGGAGCTGTCAGTGAGCCTCAGCAATCCACAATTTAAAAGTGTGGGGTTGCCCAGTTTCTTTTTGTTCAGTCCTCCATTATAAAGTCTATGTTAGGTAACTGATTAATCCAAATGTGGGAGACATCATCTGTCTTTCTATACTTGACAGCCTGATTTAGCAGCCAATGAAGCCCAGCTTCTGAGGAAGATCCAGTTGTTGTGCCTGATGGAGGTAAGAAGCATCCAAGAACCACTGTGTCCATGATTCCAGGCCGCCGTCAGGTGAGCCATGGGCTGGTTGGGTCCCAGGAGCCCTCCCACCTCTCCTGAGTGGTGTTTCTTCCACACTGCCCCCTCTTCCCCAGCTTCCTTTCCCTTTGCCATTGTTTGTTTTTTCAAGTTTGTATTTGGGTCTTAGCTTAGACAGTCCCATTCAGACATGTCTTCTCTGCCCATCTGAGCTTAAATAGCTGCCACTTCTCTGTCTGTGTGCTTGTTTGTCCTTTCTGTAATGAGCTTCCTGAGGAAATGTAGCCTGTACTGCTGGTTTCCCATGCTATTCCCTGGCCACAGGGGACTTAGTGGCCTCAACTATCTGTCCAATGAATGAATATGGCCTTTGTCAAAATTCCTGTAAGGTTGGTTTTGTCCTTTTAACAAAAGCTTCTGAGCACTGGAAACTTGTTTGTAGTAAATTTTAGTACATTAGGTACAATAAGATGATCTGTTTTCAGAGCAAGTTTTGGTAGGTCCTCTGATCCATTTTTATTTGGAAAATAGTTTTAAATAGTTAAATACTTTTTTTCCAGATGACTTTTACACGGCCTGCCAACCACAGACAGCTTACTTTTGAGGAAATTGCCAAAAGTGCTAAAATCACAGTGAACGAGGTACAGTTTTTGAACTTGGGATGTCCCCAGCAGCAGAGCTGCGTCCCTACCCCAGGTGGAGGTGGAGGACTCTGTGAGCACTGTGCCCCCAGCTTGTCTCTACAACAGCAGAAGCAGCATCATGGGGGCCCAGGTGTCTCACATAAGCTCTGTCTCACATGAGCTCACAACTTGACCAGGTGGAGTTGCTGGTGATGAAGGCGCTCTCCGTGGGGCTGGTGAGAGGCAGTATAGACGAGGTGGACAAGCGGGTGCACATGACCTGGGTGCAGCCCCGCGTGCTGGATTTGCAGCAGGTGAGGTGACTGAGCCTGCCCACCTTTATGGGCTTGGGACTGCCCCAGATTTATGTGGAAGAAGCTATCTAGGAAGAAGCATTGTTTAACCCAAGGTTTTGAAAATGGGATTACTGCTGTAGAGCTCTAGCTTAATGCACACCTAGAGTCTGACCCCTGCATTTAGAAGCTTATGACAACATGGTGGTTGTGCTGATGATGCCTTTTAATCTTAAAATTGGTACTCTGATCAAATGTGTTCCTGGTTTTGTGATTTGAGCTCAAATCCTCTTAATCATATTTATTGGAAATCTAATCCTGTGGATTTCCTCTGTTCTTGCCTGTTTTCTTTAATGCAAGTATTTAGAATGTCCTTATGATAATTGACAGGGGTGATCCCATCACATACCCCACCCCCAGCTCTGATGTCCCTAGTGCTGGAGACTTAGCACTGCCCCATGTGGCCTATGGCTTCTGCATGTCCTGACGCCTATGTGTTCCTTCAGATCACAGGGATGAAAGATCGGCTGGAGCTGTGGTGCACTGATGTGAAGAGCATGGAGATGCTGGTGGAGCACCAGGCCCAGGACATCCTCACTTAAGGACCCTAGTGCCCCCTGCCCTTCCAGGAGACGTTCTATCACCCATGAAACTAGCAGGATAGAAGATGTACATTGAATGGGCTGGGGGCTGGGATCCTGCTAATACGGTTCTTGCTGTAAAAGCAGAGGACCTCATTTATTGGGCCTGGCCTCAGGTGATAAGGGAGGGCAAGAGCATAAGTGGGAATGGGTGGTCTCCACCCACATCTGCCTGAGTGGACCTTTACCAATGCAGTTCGAGAACGTTCCTATAATAAATGCCTTGCTTTGTCGTGTTTATGGTTCTGTTCTTAGGCTTAGCTTCCAGGCCAAGCCTGTACCTGCAGAGATGAGAACCTGTGCTGGGATTAGAGGGGCTTGATGGGGAGTTGGCCCTAGCCCTTTCCCTCCTACCACACATGGGACTAGGGAAGAGCCTGGTGCTCAACCATCCAGGAAGCAAGTCCTATGTATTGTCAAACATGGGAGTGTTTACTCCCTTTTCAGCCTACGCCAGTGCCTTCTCAGACCCAGATATTCATGCCATTGCCACCTTGCATCAGCCAGGCACTTGTGCTCCACTGTGCTCATGTCCACACAAGCTGACCTCAGGGCAGCCAGTGCTAGCACCCTGTAGTGCCCAGGCTAGGAGAGGGAACACAAAAATGAGCATGAACAGTAGGTGGAAGGAGGGGGATTTAATGTGATCTTTTAGGTTGTGCCTGGGTGGCTGCGGCGCCTTCATGCTGTGGAACTTTTCTTGTAGTTCTCCAGGTTGGATAAGACCCAGCCTGCAGGAGCCAGGATGCAGACAAAGAAGGTCACGATCCCCATGGTCTGCTCCTGATGGAGGAAAAGCACACATGAGTCCACTGGGTCATTAGAGGCTCAGGCCTGGCCACTGGAGGAGACTGCCTGCCTCCATCTCTGGGATCCTGCAGCTGTGGGACTCTTTCCCAACCAGAAGCAGTCTTCACTGCTGGAAATGACTGCCCCTGCCTCCCTCCCTATGGACGGGCCAGCCATTCTCCATCTGCTTTCCACTTCTCTGTGTGATAACTAGGTTGGCAGCATCCAGCCCTTGCAGGGAAGGTGACCTGAGACCAGGAGAAATAACCTTGGGATCCAGGGCCCAAGGTACTCTGGCTACTGCACCTTCCAGCAAGGGAGAGATAAACACTCAGCTTCTTTCTGTTAGCTATGGGTGCATATGCCAGTGTGCTGTTCGGAATGGCAGAAAACCAACCTTTACCTACTGTAAGCAAGTTCAGGCTTTTCTCTGAAGGAATTCCTGTTCAGCAGCCTGGGTGGACAAGGTTGGACTACCCACCCATGCAGTGGTGCAAAGGTGACCTCACCTGGAGCCCCATGTGCCAGGGGCTGAAATTGGGAAACCATGCTGAAGCACTAGCCACAGTACACCCTTAGTTCCCTCCTGAAATGAATCTGGGTCCTAGCCTCCCGTTCCTCAGTCTTCCTGAAGCTGAATCAATGCCCATTTGGAGACCATTCTTTCCTGTTGACTTTAACCCTCAGTTGAGTAAATTTGGCCTAGAATAGGGACCTTGTGCAAATAACCTTATGGACCTTGGTTTATTTATATTTAAGACAGAGACACTGCACATTCCTAGACTCCTGGTTTTCACGTATGCTCCTCTGACCCTCAGAGCAGCCCACCATTACCTTAATAGATGCTGAAGCTGGAATAAACACTGTCCACCTCCTCCAAACCCTGAGCCACCCCCTGAGCGCTGCTCTCCCCACCCACTCGACACAGCTCTGGGCTCCTCTGAGCTTTGTGGCCTCTCAACTCCATACCTCCCTCAGCTCCATGGGCTCCCCCACCCTGAGCTCCCACAGTTCTGTGCCTCTCTGAGCTCTGCGTTACCCTAGCTCTGAGCCTCAGAGGTCTGCCCACTCCCAGTTCTCTGCCTCACTGAACTCTGTACTCACCCCACACCCCAGCTCTGCTCTCTGAGCTCTATCACAACTGGCCTCATACCTAGATGTCAGACCTGAGAAGGAACAGTATTTACCCTACATTTTGTGGTCCTTTGAGAGCCTGGCCTGCAGATGATAGCATCTAGACCCATGTCCTGGCATTCAGGCATTCAGACATTTACTCAGCCATAGCGCTAATAATGCAGCATCACGGTAGCCTTTTTACCACCTTGGGCTTCCCCATTGCCCCAAGACCCAGGAAATGGGTCTGTCCTCAGGACAGTCCACTGCTGCCTTGGAGAACACTTACCATAGGGCCAGTGGGGGTTCTGGCCGGCTTGGCAGAGACATAGGCCCTGGGAACCACCCAGCACCTCAGCGGGGCTTGCAGCAGCTTCAGGGCCGGGGGCAACCTTGGCATGGTTCTAAGGTTGAGCTCCTCCCTGTGTTCCAGCCAAATGTCCGCTGCACGACCTCTGCAGGTCACTTGGGTGTTAGGGCTTTTTATAGCTGGAGGGGGAGCTGCAGCTGTCCCTTCCTGTCACAGTGTTTGTCAAAAAAGAATGCCTGCTGGGAGAGGCCTGGCCTGGCATGTGACCTTACTGTAACCCTGCTGCAAGCCCTTCACAGTGTAGATAGGTATGGGCCTTTCTGGAAACAGCTTTTACTTCACTGCAGAAAAGGACCTCAACTATGGAACAAGTCCAGGGAAGGGAGGCTTAAAATGCTGAAAGGGAGAGGTGACATGATTTAAAAGTAACTCCTAAATTTTGGGGTGCCAGACGCACTACTGTACTACTGCAGAGCTGCTTTAAAATTCCTTAAGGGGCCTGGCTGAGCTGTGGCCTTCCCATTTTCAGCCCTGGAGTGCTGGAGCCTGCTATGCCATGTAGGCTGTATAGGGCGTCCTAGCAGTCACATTCCTGAGTGGTGGGCCTTCAATTGTGCTGCAAAGGGACAGGGGAAGAAATTCAGCAGAAGCTTTCTGAGTGCTAGCTGTGAGGAGGGGCCACATCTGACCCCAGGCCCCCACCCTTGGTCAAGATTCCAGGGCTGGATATGCTGGGCTTACCCATCTCCAGCACACAGTCTGCTGAGTGAGCTCCAGAGGACCCCAACCTCTCCTGCTTCTTCAGACAGTGGGTAGTTCATACTCTCCCAGAGCAAACTCATATTAGTACCATAGTTTTCCTGCTTTCTAGAAGATTGACTCACCCTTCTCTCAATTCCAACCCCACTAGCCTTCCTGTGGGCCTATCAGCACTGTCCACCCCGATAGCAGCCTGTACCCTCTGCACACCCCTCGCCCTCTTCTACCACCACCAAACACAAAGGTCAGTTCTGTAGCACTAGCTTCATCCTTGGTCCCTTTAATTACTGGTTTACTCCCAGTCTGTCCCACTCCTGCCTGACCTCTGATGGCCCTAGGCCTCTCTCGGTCTCTCCATCCACTCTCTCCAGACTTAGTCTGACCCTGGAGCAGACTGCCTTGATACGTCCAACTGCTTCTTCTCAGTCACAATCTCTGGGATCTGTTAACTACTGACATCTATCATGGTCAAGTTCCTGGGGGCCCTTCCTTTCTCAGACTCTTCTGCTGCTGAAGCAAAATGTTTGAGCAGCAGCTTCTGTTCGCTCTGGAGTTCACATTTCACATTTAGCCCACCCAATGGCACCACACTCCAGGGTCATGCAAAAAAGCATGTGACCCTATCTGAAAAATAATTAAAAGCAAAAAGGGCCGGGGGCATGGATTAAGTGGTAGATCACTTGCCCAGCAAGTATGAGGTCCTGAGTTCAAATCCCAGTACTGCCAAAGGAAGGAAGGGAGGGATATTGCCATGATAGTGATAAAGACCATAACCAGAGCATTCTCTGCGTCTGTTTTCAGACCATATTGGTGTGGGCCCAAGCCTAGGATGGGATGCCAACCTCTAGGCTTTTGGCATCATCCATAAAAATGGCCTCCACCCTCACCGTGCACAATCATGCCCTTATTAGTCTGTTTATAAATGGTGAATTGATGATATGAACCCATCCCACTAGGAACATGATCTCATGTTTATTCTCCCTTGTAAACTGTTGTTTGCCCTAAATGTGGGACTCCTTCCCAAGTCCCCTGCCTCTGGCCCTGAAAGTCCTCTATGGACAGAGCCAAGTCCTGGGAGGCAGGAGGAGGGAGTGTGTCCTGAATGTTATCTCCAACAACAGGCTCCCAGGCCAACTTCAGCTATGGGGGGCTTTGCCCCGCCTCTGGAATAATCCCTTCCTCCCTTCCGCCTGAACCTTTAATTATAGCCTTGGGATCCAGTTTGGGATAAGACTGGACCTGAGCAATTTGTCCAGAGGATCACTCTCTCACCCAGTGGTGAGATAAGACCTGCTGTCCCCCACCCCTACCACAATCCAGTCCTGCCTCTTGGGGAGGCCTTCATCTTGCCCTCCTGGGCTTGGGCCTAGAGGAGTATGGGGTCAAGTGGCCTACTGCCCTCCACAGCCCAACATAGGGTGAGTGTAGCCCCCGTAAGAGTCAGGCTGGGGACAGTGCAAGCAGAAGCCACAGAGAGATGTTTCACAGGCTCCCCTGGGGCCCAGATGGCCTTCAGCCCCTTTCCTACCCCACTCCCAAGCCTCCTGGCCAACTGGCCTCTCTGACCTTCCAGAACTATCCAGAAACAACCCAGTCATCTTCACTCCCCCACTAATGCAGCTCCTGAGCCTCTGACCTGCAGTAGAGTGTTGGGTTCCAGCCAACCTGCTTGTTCAAAGCAGATCTGTGCAGCCCCTGCCACCCTATTCCTGCTGCTCAAGGTATGTCACCTCCCTTTTCCTCATCTCAAGCCTGGACACCCCCCCACACACACACCCATCCCCAGGTCTTCCTTTTGCTAAAAAGAAGTGATATTCCCAGAACTGGAAGGCAGCCAAGTGTGTTACAAGATAGGGATGAAGGCACAATGTAACAGCCAGGGAAACTGAGACATGGAGAAGACTCAGAGCCAGCCAGCCCTTCAGGGCTTGTCCTGGTGTCTGGTGGACAGAATGGCCCTGCTGCTGGAATCCTCACCCTCCCTCCTTCATTAAAGCACACCAAGTTTTCACATGTGGAGCTGCCCTGAAAGTGCCTAATGCCAAGAGTAGGAGGAGAACTGCAAGCCTGCAACCCTTCTGCAAAAGTACAAGACAATCTCAGCTTGCAGGACCCCCAGCAGGTCTGAGTGGACACCTGTGGGAGCAGGGCA